AGTAATGATAACAAAGTTGTGCTTTTTTCCAAACATATACTCTGCTTTAATCGATTTTATACGATTATTATTTTGCACCAGTAAATATTAAACGATTCCGCCTCTAATTCTTCTAGAGTTACTGACGATCCCGAGTCCTATTAAAGGAGGAGGGTTGAACATGAGGTCAGCAACGCCATCTCACAGAAAACAACCTTGCTAAAAAAACCATAACCAAAATAAACAAATTAAATCACTGACTTTCTGCTCTCCGATTTGAAGGATCTTCATTCAGAAGGATTATGACTCCTGATGGCGAACAACCAGAGCAACAATTAATATACATACATGGAATGTCTGGACAATATGGGAGACTAGGAGGACCAATCAAATAGCTGAACAAAGGAGGAGATACAACGGTTCTCAGAATCAGCCAAACCTATTGGATCCAAACTGGACAGAAAAGGATGTATTCGAAAGAGATAATGTGTCGGGGATTCAAAGACTACATTGAATGGATGAATAGGAACTGTAAACAGCTGGAGAGGATTGCACAGGATAGAATTGAATAGAAAATGTTGCTGGACGGTCTTTGTTCCTCCACGAGGGGTAACAGGCGTATATAAGCAAGTAAATATTAAAAAAATGAAACTGAAGTTATATAAAATAATAAATGATAATCTTTTTTAAGTCATCCAAAAAATTACATCGATTAAAATACATATATTTGCAATTTTTTATACCAACTTGAATAATGTGGTACACTACAATTTATTTGAAATAATAAAACATAATTACTAACCTAATAATTAGTAGTATGGTATAAAATTATTTTTTATTATGTAAAATGATTTATTTATATGTAGTTGAAATCATGAGTCAATTGAAGCTAGATCACCATCGGAAACCCAGAAGCACTGCTTGACGACCGTTTCGTCCTATTATGGGACTCCTCAGCAGTGCGCCTCCACGATCTCGCCTCACCAGATTCGAACCCAGGACCCACCAGTCTCGCACCAGAGCACCTAACCGATAGACCACTGAGCTGGCCGGCATCCGATGGTGTTAATGTCTAACTCCAACCAATCCACGAAGTTGGGCAACCATTTCATCAATGTCTTCAGTGAGTTAATATTTCCCAACAGACCTGGTTGAACTCCACTTGTCACTGCCTCTCACCAGAACTCCAGGAAATGCCTCATGGAGTTAGTCACTAGTGAGCATATGATAAAGGGGTTTTCTGTGGAAATTTCAATTGACTTATAATTTCAACTATATATAAACAATTACTAAAATGAATTACTTAGAATAAGATCATTGATAATTAATGTTAATCAAGGGTTTCTCATCATATTCAGTTTACATTTATGGATCAGAATATTGAATTCGACTAAATTTTTAAAGGTAAACTAATGCTTGTATCAAATTTTGTACTATATTTTTTTTAAAAGGGTAAGTCTATGAATGAATGATTTGATATTTAATCTTTTATTATAACACTTACAACGTACTGAATATTTATCTTTCGTATAATCTTGCACTTGAGTCCAGGCAGAAATAAGTATTTTTTTAAAAATAATTTTGTATATATATATTTTGTAAAGTTATAATTTTTTTAATAAAATGATATTTTGATAACATTTAATATAGATGGAATGAAGCCATATTGTAGTGTGGGTTACTGATGTCCACATAAGTAGTATATGGTGATGGTTGGGCATTGAATGTATTTTAGTAGAAGATCGATAAGGGGATAACGGGAACGGCACGCAATTCGTACGAAAATGCATGAACAATTATAATCGGAGACTATGAACGGATATTTGTAGAAGAAACAGTCAAATTGAGACAATTGATTGATAGTTTGCAAATTAACTGTTTATTGTATGGTTCTTATATTTTAGTGAGATATTCTGTAATGTTGTGTTGAAATACATTCGGTTGTCCCCATTTGTGTTCTTGTTCATCATAATATATTTGAATTAAGTAATTATTCACTGATAATGTGTTAGTCGAATCGCATGATTTATGTTGAACGTTTATTTAGTTTACGCATAAAACCGACGTATGTAGTAGCTCTAATGAATTAAAAGATTTAGAAATTAGTCCTAGATTGAATTGAACTTACGAATAAATATACACAGGAGACTTTGTTTAAAATTTAAGTAACCTAGTACTGATGGAAAAAAATAAACGGTGTATATAATGTAAATTTGCATAAAAAACTGTAATTGTCGTGTTATATTATGCACAAATCACAATGTAGCATTTTATAAAGAATGAGCAGTTTTAATGGAAAACAATTTAAAAGAAAAACTGACAACCAAACAACTGAACTAGTAAAAATAAGGACTGTAATACAATATTTTTTTTAAATGTAAAGCCTGAATATGAAGTTATTAAAAGATTATCCATCCATAGATGATTTCCGATCAATCTAAAAAGCTATAGATAAAATAAAGATTTGAGGATGGTTAGAATTTTCTTAGGCAACTTTTGAGAATCGAGAAGTGCTAGACAGTCATTTGTTTCTTATATAGAACTTCTCAATGGTATGAGATCGTAAGTGCGCATACAGTTGGCCAGATCAGGTTAATTTGTATGGTAAACTATCTTCAAATCTAACAGAATCTTAAAAATAAAGATTTGCTGATGAAGTGCGTTAGTATAATTATTATGCACATAAACCCATACTAGGACGAAACGACCGTCCAGTGCTTCCAGGTCTTCAATGGTGGTCTAACATTGATCAGTTCATGATCTCAATAAAAGCTCATCAATTCCTACAACCCTATAATGAAGGATGATTTAAGCATTCGTGTTATACCTAATTGGTTAGATTTTTTAGCCATTAAGTAACGTCATTATATCTGAAATGCAAACATATCACTATATGTTATTTTACTCCTTACAAAAATCTTCCATATAGCTAACGGATATTGAAATAAGATATTCGGTGCATAACGTGACGAAGAATCTATTCTATTCGCTTAAAATATATTCATCATGTATCTGATACTTTTGTATTTTAGCTACTATGTTCTATGAATTCCTATTATTAATAAACATGTTTTAGATTATCACTGGGAAGAATGAAAATTCCCGACAGTACAGCATCAAGAATAAAATCATTGAGAAAAGATATTTTTGCTAAACTACTTGTCTACTCTTTCATTTTGCTTCAACAACTATTTCACGCTTATGTTTAAATTGTCTTTAATATGGATCATTTACAGTCGTTCTCAATAGTTCTCATTATTAATTAGGAACTTATAACGGCAGACGTTTCAGGTAGCTAATACCTAAGCAACACATACCCGTTTATATAACTCTTAAAGACATCTTAGAATTAAATTTCAACTATATCCTGCATGATCAGTAAGTTTTAATTACTTCTATCAAAAAAGTATGTTGATCAAATTTGAACGATATTAGAAGGATCAGCTGAGTGAAAAATTCGAGCATACATTAAAAATCTAAAAAAAATAAAGAAATCAAATCTCCATCGTACAGTTATTAATGGTAATAGTAGACCAAGTTGTTAACTATGCTTAGTATTCATGACTACAATATTTTAAAACAGTACTTTTTCAAGAAGCTCAGTATTATATTTATATTTATCAGAAGGGGTTTTTGTGGAAATTTTAGTAATTTTTATAGAGTTGAGATCATGAGTCAATTGAAGCTAGACCACCATGGAAAACCTGGAAGCACTGCTTGATGCCCGTTTCGTCCTATTATGGGACTCCTCAGCAGTGCGCATCCACGAAGCAGAAACCAGTGGAGTTCAACCAGGTCTGTTGGGAGATATCAATTCACTGAAGACAATTCGTGAATGGTTGCTCAATTTCGTGGATTGGTTGAAGTTAGACATTAACACCATTGGATGCCGACTCAGTGGTCTATCGGTTAGGTGCTCTGGTGCGAGACTGGTGGGTCCTGGGTTCAAATCTCGCGAGGCAGGATCGTGGATGCGCACTGCTGAGGAGTCCCATAATGAGACGAAACGGCCGTCAAGCAGTGCTTCCAGGTTTTCGATGGTGGTCTAGCTTCAATTGACTCATGATCTCAACTCTATAAATATTTGTATTTAATTTGGTGGTTCTTTCAGTTACTAAAAAAAAATAATATTCAGTAGTACAATAAGCATAAAATGTTCATACAATTTATAGCCGAATAAATTTGTGCTTAATCTACTCCATAGATTAAACATTACAGTGCATTTAAAAAAATTAGGTGATCAAGATTTATTGGCATTTATCTCAATAGGAAAATATAGTCGCTTTAAACATATTCAAGGCTCTACAAAATTCCCATTGATGATTACAGGATCGGTTTTATTGATCAGTTTTATTGACCAATTTTCGAGCTAGTCTCCAATTATGCCATTGTCTCATAATTATTGGCTACAATGCCAAATAATTCTTTGAAATATTCGTGTCGAGGTAGATTACTTTTGACCTTAATCATGGGCCCAAAATTGGGTGAGATTTTGTTAGATAGACTTTAAGGGGGATGAAATAGGGAGAAGAAAGGTAGAAAAGTCAGACTGGATTATTTTTGAGCTCTAGTAATATTTAGTGAGGTCACAGAGGCCCAATGAGAGTGAGCGATAAAATGCCTGTCTGTCGAACAATTTTCGATCATGTCTATTTACTATGTACTGTTCGACTTAAATTTATGTGACCGATTGATTTGGGCCACTGGTTTTTAGGACACACAAAGTGAGATGTCATCAGACCAGATATTTACCCACGTCATCATTGACTGATAGATTGTCTATCCCACTATTTTCATAAATCAAGAGGCCCGAAAAAAAATTTCGATCGAACCTATAAGTTTCCGTGTATCTTTTGTTTATTACGTGGATAATGATTCTTAAATGTTAGACCAGCTTAGTTGCATTTGACATTAAAACCTAGCAAATCAAACGCAGGTACATTAACTGTCCACGGATTTATTTCGTTAAAAAATTACACCATACTTTTAATTTATTCGAGTACACATTGGAGACACAAATTATGCCACAATGTTGCTTTGCTGGTTGTCATAACCGCACCGATGATGGACGAGGCCTAAGCTTCTTTAGGTTTCCTCGTAGAGATGCTGCTCGAACAGCATCTTGGATAAAAGCCTGTGGTCGAAAGGAATTTGTTCCATCTCAACACTCACGTGTTTGTTCGCAACATTTCAAATACGATGATTTTGAACGGGATATTCGTTCGGAACTTATGGTAATCGGACATAAAAGATTGCGTCTAAAAGAAACAGCTGTACCTTGTCCTTCTTCTGTCGTCTTACAGAACGATACTAAACAAGTGGAATCAGGCAAATCGGTATATAATTCCAAAAGAAGATCCACAATCAACAGTCATACAGAATATGAAGCAACACAAGATAATTCAGGTTCACTGTTCTGTAAGTCTCTATTTACTGGTTCGACTTTGTACTTTATCGTCCCAATTTTACTTTGTTGCCGTATCATTATGAATCCCTTATTGAGTTTAAGTAAATTTGTGCAGTACGGTGCTAGTGTCTACCCAACTCCCAAATAAAATGTTCAGTGATTACCGACTGGATAGGTCCTTGATATAAGTATTGATGGTTTTTATAAATATTATCCACTGTGACGAGATCTGTATTGATTAATTTTTTAAAAAAAAAACAAACTTTTCAATGAACGTATTTCTAAATGTCTCTACTCATTGAAAGGAAAATGACTGTTTGGACGACTTCATAACTACCGAAGTAATGAAGAAAATGGAGTTATAGTTTTTAGCACATGGTTATGTTAAACGTATTAGTAACACTTCATTTGTTTTCCACTGATTGCACCTAGTGAAATTTAGTAACAATAATTCTGTCTCCAACATACTAGGGGTTGACGAGCCTCCAATGTTTAGCTTAAAGATAATGTTGTCATTTTAACTTCCTGTCTTAATTCTTCATCTTAGTCTTGAAGGTTGACTCAAGAAAATTGAGGGCATTTTGAACAAATAAGAAAAACTAATGAGAGTGATACGTAGAAATAAAAATGTCGAAGTAACTAGTTGCATTTCATGTGATCCTGATTCCAGTTAATGGCCATCTTCCAAGATTAATTTATACACTTAATTTTATCCACAGTTCACCATAAAGAATATATTTATTCCACATGTCTAGTAAAGTAACTAATACCGAGATAACCTTGTTGTGGGGTTTAAAAATTTGGGATGACTTTCAGTGAGTAGTCAAAGGTGGAGAATTTTGAAGAATTTCAGAAATCCTTTACTAGCCAGTTTTCACTCGACTGATATCGACTCATGATAAAAACTATGTTCATATTTACATGGTACTTGGAGAATTTTATTTCAGAGTACAGTTATCAATTACGGTTTTAATATTCAGGAACAAAATTAAATTCCCCTCATCGTAGTCCATTATAGTAAGCTTATTGAGATTTATCAAAAGTGGTTTCATGATAGTACTTTCAAAGTTAAATGCTCTTACTTATGGTTTTCAAGTTTTTCCTTATATTGGTCTTCTAAGGGCGATCATTTTTAAACGTTCATATTTTATTTACGGCCTTCGGCTCATTTTAGTTCTCAATTTCTTCTCCATAGAACTAAAATGCACAAAAAATGTGTCTAACTATTAAACTAATTGGAAAGTATATTTTTATTAAGTTCGGTAGTTTTTTTCTTTCTGCAATCACATTTTTCTCCATGTATTTCTTCAGAAAACTTCAGTGTTCCTCATTGGAAATTGCATTATATTTCAAAAGTTTGACGGTTTAGTTTTATGTTAACACTCGAAAGTATTTATATTTTAAATAGCACTCAAACTTTTTACAAATCAAGTCAAAAATAAAAGTTTAGGAGTCATCTTGAGCACTGTATAAGTATGTAATGAATAACCACCTACCACTAGGTGACACGACAGTCAGAAAAGAAATCAAAGGTAGAACTCGACACTCAATATTCCTAACTCACTGGCATATGTATTTCTACGGTCAACTTACGTTAACTCAGAGAATGTATAGGAATATGATGCTAAGTAGTAAATTGGTTAAAATAGCATTGTTCATGGTTAAAGTGATGTGAGTTAAAAGAAATTATTGGATACTTAAATACTCCAGGAAGTATATATTGAAGTAATGTTAGAAGACCTGTTATTATGTCAGTCAGTCACGATGTAGAACTTCGCACGTACGTACATCAGTTCGAGTTGCCATACCACATTAGCACAGAGATGCAGTTGTCCATCCAAATTCCATAATGGTAGAAGTAGTAAGGGTATAAGCAGTAATCCGAAAGATTAGGGTTTGAAGATGTTGTTGAAGGAGTATAATCCAGTGAAATAAATTTGGAAAGAGAAAAAAGATAGAGACACGAAGAATTCAAATCGGAATTTGGCAGAACACAAAGAGTGGATGCAACTTCGTCATTGCAAACGATTTTGAGCCGTGTCACTCAAGGTCTCTAACCATCGATTGCTATCATCTCGCGGATCCCAACCAGGTAGTCTACACCTACCAACATGGCTCAGTCCACTTGTCAGTGACTTCATGGATTTGTGCCACGTTTTGTTCTGGCCGCCCTTAGCTTTCTTCCAACCTACTCTTACGCCATAAAACATTGTACGTCGGGTCAGTCGGTGGTTGGGCATACGTAACACGTGTCACAACCATTTCAACTGATGAAGTTTCACTACTTCATCAATCGATTTGCCATCTTTACCTAGTACCCGTTTCCTAACGACTGCATTACTTTGTAGTGCCGTGCTTCAGTAATAGTTCACTTCGATAACCGTTATTATACCAATCTTAACGGTGTATAAAATCAGAAGGCAAAAGGAAGCGGCAACTACATTTTTATTGATAAATGATGCAGATCAGAAAGCTGTGGGCACATGAGCAAGTGTAAGCGAGCGAAGCAAAGATGACGCATAGTGGAGATGGCTGGGAAGCCAACTCGCTATGAGCAAGCATTACTCAATATTTATAATCAGACAAAAATGAATGACAGACATATGATGAATCGGATACGAAGGGTACACACACATGCGCTCATATAAAAAGGTGGCCAAGGTTAATAAGCGAATAATTAACAAGATCAAAATATGACTCAATGTATAGGTGAATTAGCTTGACCAGTAACTAGAATTAAGTATATGGGCTTAACATATCAACCAATACTACAACTTACTCAGTGGTTCCAGGATATACGAGCAATGCTTCGAAGACACCTATGATCGAATACTGGTAGCCTACGAATTTCCCCTACTCTTACCGACCATGTTTCACTGTTATAAACTAGGACGGAACGAACTGCTGCTCAGTAAACCTGTCCTTTGGTTACTAGACGGATATTTCGCCTACGCCATAAATGACGCACTTTGGCAAAAGCTAGACGAGCCTTCTGTATCTGTGCTGAAATCTCGTCACACACCAGACCACGAGGGCTGATGAGACTCCCAAGATAAGTGAAGCGGTCGACACGCCCAACTACTTCACTCCCTATCATTAGTGTGGGTGTTGATGCAACCCAATTCTGAAGTAACATTTTGCACTTCGAGGGGGAGAATCACATCCCGAACATGCCTGCATTGTTGCTCAGAGTGGTCAGAAGACTCTGCATTTTGTCAGCGTCTTTACCGAATAGAACTATGTCACCGGAATATTCTAAGTCAACAAGTGAATTTCCTGGTAAAAGTTCAACCCCTCTAAATTTGAATGAGGAAAGTATTATTCCTAAAAGCACGTCTACGATAAAGTTAAACAAGAATGGAGAGAGTGGACAACCCTGACGAACACCACTTGAGGTAATCAATTCTGATGACAGTTCGCCATAAGCTCTAACTCGACCAGTTGTGTTCGAGTAGAGAGCCTTTGTAAGGTTAATGTACTTCTTTGGTACTCCTTTCAGTGACAAACACTGCCATAGAACCTCACGATCAACGGGGCCAAATACCGCCTTAAGGTCGAGAAATACTACTATTGTAGGACGTCTGAATTTGTGTCTATGTTCTAGGACCTGACGTAGAGTGAATATCTGGTCTATACAACCACGTCCAGGTCGAAAACCAGCCTGGTTTTCTCTAGTCCGCTCTTCACGAGCTTTAGTTAGGCGTCGGAGTATTATTGAAGCTAGTATTTTAGACACTATATTAATCAAACTAATCCCTCTGTGATTGTCACAAGAGGATTTTTGTCCTTTCTGATAGACCGGCACAATCATTGATTGAGACCAGTCAGATGAAATTACGTCCAGTTCCCAGATTCTACTTAAGACCTCAGTCAATCTCGCTGATAGTACTGGACTGCTATCCTTAAAAATATCAGGGGTAAATTAGTCAGGGCCTGCTGCTCTCTCTCGCTTCAGATTTCCTATAGCTTTTTCAACCTCGTAAAGATGTGGAGGATTTACATTAACTTGCTATTCAGGACGACTGGGTATTGTGGGTAAATGAAGTGTGACTGAAGGCCAGTTGAACTGATCCCCAAAGTGTTCTGCCCATCGATCCGATCTCCTGGATTGAGAATGAATGATATGTCCATCTTTATCTGAGATAGTTTTGCTGATAGTTAGATCCCTAATACCGGTTTCTTTAACAAGTCTGAATAGTTGTCTGTTGTTACCTATTGCCGCTGCCTTTTCCATCTCGCTTGCTTTCGCTACCCACCACTGTTCGTGACCATTGCGTAGGCTTCTTGTTAGCCTGCGCTTAAGCTGACTCCGCTCTTCGTTATGTTCAGAGCCAGGTGGGATGAGTTTGCGAGCATCTATCAGTGCGGTAGGTGCTTCTGAGACCCAATGTTTCTCCCTAACCTTGTGGTTTACCTTACTAGCAGATGTCACTGCTGTTTCCACAGCTTTTCAGATGTCATTCCACACTGCCTCGAGATGGGCACAACTTACATGGCTGCCCAACTGCTTTTCTAGTTGTTCCTGAAATATATTCTTAGCTTAGCTATCATTAAGTAGGACCCTAAAAGGTTTCCGTGCAGCATCTTTCCTACGTTCAGTAAGACGCAGACAGATACGTGCTTGCACTAGAGCATGATCTGAATCTAAACATGTGCTCCAGAATGAGCGAGTCTTCTATCGAGCCCCTCCATCGGTGGCTGATAGCGATGTGATCTAATTGGGTCCAACTTTGGGACGAATTCGGGGGTCGCCATGTCAAAAGATGTTTTTCCTTATGCCTAAAGTTAGTTTTTGCAGGAAATAGGCGGTTATGTGAGTGCAGCTGCAACAGGCGGTCGCCATTATCTGTTTCTTTTAGCCACGACACCATAAGGTCCTCCCAGGTGTCTTTCCCTTTCACTTAGTTTACCTACTTGAGCATTAAAGTCACCAGCCACTATTACTACATCGGAACGTTTAGCTTTTCGGAGAAGATCGGAAAGTTTTCTGCAAAACTCATCTTTTATATAATCTGAGCTGCAGTCAGTGGTAGAGTAGGCAGAGACGACGAAGAGGCAACGACGAGTGTCCCTATCTTTCCGAGTCCTTACTGTTCCATTTAGTTGGACAGCGCGCAAATGACTGTTCACTGGGATCCAGTCTAAAAGACCTAGTTCTTCCTTAGGACTCAATACTATACCTATGCTAGCGAGGCCACGGGAAGCAGCTTCCGGTTTTTCCGATACACGAAGTGTGGATCGAGTTCGTTCTTTATTATGACAGAATGAGGTCAAGTGAATTACGCTACTCCGATCTTGTATGCGCGTTTCGGAGACGCAGCACACATCGATGGTACGAGATTTTAAAGTCTTAGCTAAGGGAGCCTATTGTCCTTTTTGGCACAATGTTCAGATGTTAAAAGTTGCTACATGAAGTTTAGAGTGTGATTTCAGGAGACCAGGAATAACGTTCCGTGTATTCAAATCGTTCGCCCTAGCGGTGCGAGGTGATGAAAGGATATGAGAAGGGTTAGTCGTGGAAATAAGAGAGTTATTAGGAGTTGTAGGAAGGATTTGAATGTGACGAACTTCGTCTCGTGTGCTATTACGGGTATCAGGGCTAATATCGCTTCCCGGCTGCCTACATCGTGGAAGGGTATTTCTTGAGGGACCTGAAAAGGAAGCTGTGTTAGTGTTGGCCTTAACGACCAGGGAGCGTGACTTCAGTGCCCAAGGGCAACTGCTTGAGGCCGGTCACGCAGGGCCTTTTTGTAGGGGATTTTAGAAGTGTTAGCTCCGTTATTCAAACGTAGATTATAGTTATTTTATAGCTCAATTATCGTAACTACAGGCAATCGAGAACCTGAGGCGTGTGCGTAACAGTGTATTTACGAGCGGTTAACAGTGTGTGATGCTATGAGCGATTCACAAACCGTAGTGTTCAAGATCATACACCTAAACAACATGTACAATCATTTTGTGGTAAATGTACAGACTGTGAGAATTGACAAAAGAAATGCAAGTAATACCAGATGCTATTTAAAAATAGGTTTATTATGTCCATCTCCACAGTAGTTTATTTATATGCTCTTAATTTTCTCACTTCAGTCTTTCTATTATCATATACCATGCAGCTGGATCTCTACACAAATACTTGCAGAATAAAGCGGATTCGTTTCACAACCTACTGAATGAAGACCCATCCTTACAAACAGTAGTATCACCAGGTCGAGGGTTTGACATGCCTCATGAGTTTGAGGTGTCTGCTTGAAAATGAGAGGGATATACTTGTTGCTGTTTGTATCTTGAAAATTCGTTTTATTCATTATTTTAAAGTTTCATAGCGCTGATTCTCAAAAAACGTTAAGGACGAAACTATTCGCGACTGTTTCTGGATTTATACGTCTGTATACAAAGTAGGATTATCTAGAGGTTTGCAATATAAGTACCGTAGTGATTATAAGTTTTATCGCTGCATCACATCACCCAAGTTAAGGACGGTTGCTAAATGCATCAGCAGCTTCGCAGGATCTCCCTGTTGACCTTCTTCAGTTGAGTGATGTTACAACCTCGTGATCACAAAAATCATGCATCATTCAAGCATACCATTTTCTTCAGTTTTCAAGTGTTTTGAGAGTCCACAACCTATGGTCTTCAAACGATGGTTTAGTTAACGTAGAATACCCCTTTTAATATTTCATTCATATCTTTAACTACTTAGTCTTCAAACATCGAGCGGTTATGAAGAATTACTAATGAATACTATGGTTATAGGCTTCAAAGGTTGATCTTCGGGCGTGTGGTTATTATGTGAGACGAATTCTCTCCTCCCGGTTCATTTTTATCCTTAGTTCACGCAGTAACTGGTATGCTCATGCCGTATTGTCTGGTGCTTCATTGTGTTGAGACACTGGATGTTGTTGTGATCCATCCTGTAGATGATTTTTGTAAAATTAATCATTTCAGTTATACAATTTTTCAAAACTGATGTGAAGCAGGTGGTTAATTCCTCCTTTCTAGTCACATCGTGAGTTTCTTTATTCATGACCTACACCTGTCACGCCCTCTTAGTAAATGTTGCTAGTAAATACCTATCCAAGGCTATCAGAAGGCTGTATTGTTTCCCAAGCGATCCAAAGAATTAGTCGCAGGGACTTCCTGACTTATAGACCAGAAGGTGTCACATCTCAAACCGTCCGTGATTATCGTTTTCGGCTACCTTTAGTGAAGACACGAGAAGTAATTTGTATTCTGCGGCTTGTATCACCTATTGAGTAATAGAAGTGTTTGGTAGTCTAAAACTGTGGGGGTATATTACATAGCAAATGTCTTTGTATTTACAGAAACCTGGTGTACAAGAATAAATAATGAGTGGATTATTTGCATCGTACCAAGGATGTCCTTGCTTCTGTATGGTGAGACCTTCAAACTTAGTTCTTGAGTTAAAGCGTAAAACTTGTTGATGAGGGTGTAAACTTGCACTGCTTTGAGGACGCCACAGATATTCACCGTTCGATCATGCTTTTATCTGTAACACCCTTATAATTGATAGATACCAACCAAGCCAAGTCAGAAGTCAAGGATGAATGAGTGCGAATATATGTATTGAAGATTGTCGACGTGTTAAGAACCGTTTGATCTAAGCTGGCCAGTAGCTGCGAGAGATGTGTAGCACGGCTTGCCCGCTCGTGGTCTAGCACTGATACGTGACTGAATGCTTTCAGCTATGGTGCCCGGTAAAGATAGTGAGGTCGGCATCAATGCAGAAGACTCATAAAACTATTTCTGAAGCTCAATCACCTCTAGACTTGACTACTTAGTTCAATCGTTTTCTATACCAATTTGCTGTATAATATGAAGACGAAGGGAGTCGACTGGAAACAGTGGTTAGCCCAGAATTATAATTCGCCTTGTGGAGTTTTTGAATTTTGATGTTTCTCATGGACAAGTACCAACTTGCTGGTTAGAACCTTCAAAAGACTGATTAAGTCCCTTGAGTGGCATGGTTCAAGCTAGAGCGTAGTATTACGGGACACTCACGACTTGTCTCGAGTATCTCAATTGCAGGGAGCCTTTCTAATATCTCGGAAGTAAGATGTTCAGAGTTAAGATATACCAAAACTATCCTTTTCCCACAAATCTACTACTGGCTACAACATGTTGTTCCTTGGTTAATTTCAATCGTTCGCCTTTTGAAATTATGGCTTTTAGGTCTGCACTCTTGAAAAGCTGACATGAATTATAAAGCAAGCCACGTCAACCCTGTAAAAATCAGGCGTGCAAGCAACCGGGAAGAACTGTAAGAAGCATACGAATACCCGGTTTAATGCACCTTGAAAACCAGAGCTTGGTGGCTGCAGACCTCTGATCTCACTTTACCTATTGTTTTTTGTTTACCAATTAAGTTCCTATAAACCATGCTGTAAGACAAAAATGCCTTACCCTAAGTTTGTTCCTTTTTACCTTGGTTGCTTGCACATTTTGCGTACATTCACTTCCTTTATCTTGATTAGTTGAGTTGTCTTTTAATATAACCCTATCAATAGTGGTAAAGAAGATCGTAAGTTTCCGGTTGTGAAAAGTATTCCAAACAGTCACAATCTGGATTTCACTACAACTTTTGAGAATCTTTCAGTGACATGAATGGATAATTATTTAAGTTGCTTGCTAAATGATAGTTAAGGAGATCGGAATTGTCTCTTTGTGGATTATGATCCTAATATATTGGTAAGGAGTAGCTGTTATTTTGTTGATTGGTGGGACAGAGTTTTCCCTGCAACTACTGATCACTGTAGTCTTAAGTCCAATCATTGTCGATTGACCATATTACCGGTAATGAGGCGAATGTCCTTTCATCATACCTGGAGTTCTTATTTCTAGAACTTGTAACTTGGTCGCTTAATTGTTCTGCGCTAAATCAGGCATTCTGCAAAGTTCAGCTTTGAAAAACAATACCGTTTTCGCCACAAATGAGGATTTTTACGTCGAGATAGAACAAGGACGTTAGTGGTTTTGTTGTTTAAGCGTTGTCGCTGGTCGAATGGCTCGTCATTTGACTTACGTGATCTAATTCTGGGTTCGTTTTGTCATTGTATCGATAGGATGTGTTATTGTTCATTTTGATCATTTCAGCCGCATTGGAAAAGGTATTGTCGAACGAACCTTTGGGCGAGATGGAGCCCACAACCAAGAGGTATATCATAAGTTCATATGATGACTGTTCCAGGCAATGTTTTGATGATGTATTAGATTTAAGTCGGAAGTCTAACCATGTTACTAATGGAAATGACAAGCTCTCCAGCAGGGTAAGTTATTGTTTTGCGCTCATTTCTTCAGAATGATGATGATGTCATTATGCTGAGTGAGGATGAGGATGATCGTCTACTTGGGTCTCTCTGCGATGAAATGGAAAAAGAAAACACTCCCAAGCAATCACTTCTATCCAAGTCGCGTGCATTTCTTTTCAAACTGGAAAGTGAACTTAGAAACGAAGAAAGTGCGTTGCTGTTGCTTCAGCAGTTACGAGCCAATCAGCGTTCGCATGCGTTACAGCCGAAAAGTACTAAAGTCTCGTCAAGTGTAACAGCTACAATGCGTAGTACACAATCACCTGTTAACCAAGGTACATGCTTATTATTTATTCATTTCACTTAGTTCGGCCAGCTGTCAGTCAAGCTGTGACCAGGAATGTCCCGTCCACAGCTGGTAGTCGGGCAACGCAATGTAAGTTTCTGAAATCATTGAATATCTTTTCATTAGCTCCAGCTCAGAACACTACGGCGGTGAATCCAACAAACGCGACGCCAATAACTAAAGTAACGAAAGGAATGGCTATCCATGCTCTCGAACAACAATGTAGTGGCAAAAAAGCAATGCTTCGGAAGCAGTTAGAGAGAACGCTAGATAAAGTTGTCCTTCCAAAGCCCGCTGTGGGAAATGGATTGTCTGTAGTACCTTTTGTTCCAAGCACTTTGACAAATGAGTTTACTTCAATGATAGGCCTTGAGGAAATCGTAACCACCATACAAGTAAGCATTTTGACCTGTGGTCATAAAGTAGCTTTTTCCTATTTGTTTTCAATAAATGGGTGCTTAATGAATGCGGAAAAATAACTGAAATCGCTATTTCCGGTAACTTTTAAGGCTTGAATATCAGGTTATTTCACTTCTCGTTACTTTTTGGCTTGTCAGCTATGCTAACTCTTAGGAACGCAATGTTAGCTTTGTTGCAATCAAGTCTAACAACAATAGATAGACCTCACTTATTTAACTGGTGAAGGGTGGGTAATTTTTTCCTCTGAAAAATTTCGGGAGTTGAGCTTGTCTTATATGATTCTGGCCGAAACTTGAGGGGTACAACACAATTTCGAGATACCAAAAACCACTTTTCAAGGTCATGTATTTAACGATGTCTCGATACGTAGCTGAGTAACAAACACGAATTTATTTATTTCTATTCGGCCCTCATATTTTGCTTTGAGGATTTATATACCAATCGAGAAAGGGGAAGTACGTTTCAAACATAGAACCTTGTTAAGTCAGTTGTTTTAACTTTTTAGCCACCATCATCCCAAATGAGAACTTTGAAGCTACTGCAGGAGAATTAATACCAATATTAGTCTGGGATCTAGGAGTTGACAGGCACACGGATGAAGGGTTAACAAAAGTAATCAAATATTCCTCAAAAAATACAGACCGTTGGCACTCGCAGACCACTTAACACTGTGAAGTCTCATATTTTAGGAATCTTGAGAAATGTAGTGGATACGTGGTGATAATGCTGTCGAACTAAGTGTATGGTCTCATAAACCAATGAACATCTGTCTGTGGTTTTCAATACACTGCATTATTACTAATATTTGCTTGTAGTTTTGTAATGCTAGTATTTACAAAACCTTGTCACTAATATCAGAAATTCGCGAAGCAGGCCAAAGCTTAATTTTTGGTGAACATCTTTCCTAACTCTACTTTTATAAGGAGAAAGCAAGCCAAATTGAAACTAATGTATTTTTATGGAATTAGATGACCGTAAAAAGCCAATCCTTGTTTGCATACCAGAAATTTATTATCTCCTTACTCGTAGAGTCATTGTTTATCTTATGAAATCTTTACCTTAATCCATAAGTTGAGAATTGTTGGCAGTGAGGTACATAATTCATTACTTTTTGTCCTATATTGACCTATCCCTACCGATATTTTGAATCAATGTGATCCCCACTGGCTCTGACGAGTATTATGTCTACATTATTCTATCCTCATCAATACTGTACATTTTCTTCCGGTAAAAGGTACGTGAGCAAGTACCCTTGAGGGATGAGTTTTACCACCACTTAACAGTTCTTCTACGAAAAGTGTGTTCGACAGATATTGTAGTACTAGCCAGAGACTTGAATGCTCAGGTCAGGCGTCTAGGCACAGAAGAGAGTCGTTTGGGTGGCTGATGAGGACTTGTTGGTCGCAGGTCAGATAACAGTGACCGTCTACTGCAACTATGTGCAGACCACAACCTGTTTCTGCTAGCACTAACTACCGGCACAGTCATCGCCGATATGCCATCTAGTGTCCTCCCTCTTCATTTCAAGCCTGAACTCAAAATGATCACATCGCAATCAGCTACCGCTGGCGTAGTTGTGTGCAGGACTGCCGCTCCTTTTGGAGTACCTATTTGGACTTTGATCATGCCCTTGTCATCACTGATCTTACCTTATTTTACAGTGGCCAACAAATCGTCCTAAGCGAATCGATGTCAGTAAATTTGTTGCAGTTCCTGTTTTAACTGATATCAAACCGAGCTGGGTTCAAGGCTAGCTACCATCCCACCGAAAAGTATAGATGAACATTAGTTGTAATTGCATGACGCCGTGAAAATGGCGGGTAGAGTCGCTTGCGCCTTCGTGACATCAGGGCTGCCTTCGATTCGTTGGGCAGGACTGTTCTCTGGTAGCCTGTTAAATAAGGATGTGCCTGAAAAGTCTTAATATCTTAAAAGCTATATATATATAAACTCAGGCAGAGTGAGGGCATACAACCACCTCTCTCCATTGTTCCATCCAAATAGTTGGGTTAGGCGGAGTTGTCTAATCTGACCATTCCTCTTCAACTTTGCTATCCATGACGTCCTGGAAACAGTTCTGATGGATTTAGGCAATGGTGGTGTAGATCTGTTGTCTGGAGAGAAACTTTTCGACCTTGAGTATGCAGATGATACTGTCTTGCTGTGAAATGATACCCAAGCTACAATCCGCACTTAATCAGTTGCAATCGGTGTCTGTAGGTACGGCACGTGCTTTAGACCTTCCAAATGTAAAGTACTTTTATGAGACTGACAGAACCCTGATCTCGCACCCACCCTGGCTAGTGAGCAGATAAAAGTAGTCAAATAATTCGTGTATATGGGTAGCTGCAGAGGTACTGGTGGTGGCGTGAGTGATATCCATTCATGTACAGTGGAAGCCAGAGAGGCTCATGCCAATCTGAGCCATCTTTGGCGCCTTTGTGGTGTTAGTCTGACTGTAAAAGGTCGGATCTGCAAAGCGTTGGTGAGAACAGTTTCTCTCCATACTTGTGAAGTGTGGGGGAGCAGCAGGCCCTGACTAATTTACCCCTGAGGTTTTTAAGGATAGCAGTCCAGTACTATCAGCGACCCCCGAATTCGTCCCAAAGTTGGACCCAATTAGATCACATCGCTATCAGCCACCGATGGAGGGGCTCGATAGAAGACTCGCTCATTCTGGAGCACATGTTTAGATTCAGATCATGCTCTAGTGCGAGCACGTATCTGTCTGCGTCTTACTGAACGTAGGAAAGACGCTGCACGGAAACCTTTTAGGGTCCTACTTAATGATAGCTAAGCTAAGAATATATTTCAGGAACAACTAGAAAAACAGTTGGGCAGCCATGTAAGTTGTGCCCACCTCGAGGCAGTGTGGAATGACATCTGAAAAGCTGTGGAAACAGCAGTGACATCTGCTAGTAAGGTAAACCACAAGGTTAGGGAGAAACATTGGGTCTCAGAAGCACCTACCGCACTGATAGATGCTCGCAAACTCATCCCACCTGGCTCTGAACATAACGAAGAGCGGAGTCAGCTTAAGCGCAGGCTAACAAGAAGCCTACGCAATGGTCACGAACAGTGGTGGGTAGCGAAAGCAAGCGAGATGGAAAAGGCAGCGGCAATAGGTAACAACAGACAACTATTCAGACTTGTTAAAGAAACCGGTATTAGGGATCTAACTATCAGCAAAACTATCTCAGATAAAGATGGACATATCATTCATTCTCAATCCAAGAGATCGGATCGATGGGCAGAACACTTTGGGGATCAGTTCAACTGGCCTTCAGTCACACTTCATTTACCCACGATACCCAGTCGTCCTGAATAGCAAGTTAATGTAAATCCTCCACATCTTTACGAGGTTGAAAAAGCTATAGGAAATCTGAAGCGAGAGAGAGCAGCAGGCCCTGACTAATTTACCCCTGATATTTTTAAGGATAGCAGTCCAGTACTATCAGCGAGATTGACTGAGGTCTTAAGTAGAATCTGGGAACTGGACGTAATTTCATCTGACTGGTCTCAATCAATGATTGTGCCGGTCTATCAGAAAGGACAAAAATCCTCTTGTGACAATCACAGAGGGATTAGTTTGATTAATATAGTGTCTAAAATACTAGCTTCAATAATACTCCGACGCCTAACTAAAGCTCGTGAAGAGCGGACTAGAGAAAACCAGGCTGGTTTTCGACCTGGACGTGGTTGTATAGACCAGATATTCACTCTACGTCAGGTCCTAGAACATAGACACAAATTCAGACGTCCTACAATAGTAGTATTTCTCGACCTTAAGGCGGTATTTGGCCCCGTTGATCGTGAGGTTCTATGGCAGTGTTTGTCACTGAAAGGAGTACCAAAGAAGTACATTAACCTTACAAAGGCTCTCTACTCGAACACAACTGGTCGAGTTAGAGCTTATGGCGAACTGTCATCAGAATTGATTACCTCAAGTGGTGTTCGTCAGGGTTGTCCACTCTCTCCATTCTTGTTTAACTTTATCGTAGACGTGCTTTTAGGAATAGTACTTTCCTCATTCAAATTTAGAGGGGTTGAACTTTTACCAGGAAATTCACTTGTTGACTTAGAATATTCCGGTGACATAGTTCTATTCGGTAAAGACGCTGACAAAATGCAGAGTCTTCTGACCACTCTGAGCAACAATGCAGGCATGTTCGGGATGTGATTCTCCCCCTCGAAGTGCAAAATGTTACTTCAGAATTGGGTTGCATCAACACCCACACTAATGATAGGGAGTGAAGTAGTTGGGCGTGTCGACCGCTTCACTTATCTTGGGAGTCTCATCAGCCCTCGTGGTCTGGTGTGTGACGAGATTTCAGCACAGATACAGAAGGCTCGTCTAGCTTTTGCCAAAGTGCGTCATTTATGGCGTAGGCGAAATATCCGTCTAGTAACCAAAGGACAGGTTTACTGAGCAGCAGTTCGTTCCGTCCTAGTTTATAACAGTGAAACATGGTCGGTAAGAGTAGGGGAAATTCGTAGGCTACCAGTATTCGATCATAGGTGTCTTCGAAGCATTGCTCGTATATCCTGGAACCACTGAGTAAGTTGTAGTATTGGTTGATATGTTAAGCCCATATACTTAATTCTAGTTACTGGTCAAGCTAATTCACCTATACATTGAGTCATATTTTGATCTTGTTAATTATTCGCTTATTAACCTTGGCCACCTTTTTATATGAGCGCATGTGTGTGTACCCTTCGTATCCGATTCATCATATGTCTGTCATTCATTTTTGTCTGATTATAAATATTGAGTAATGCTTGCTCATAGCGAGTTGGCTTCCCAGCCATCTCCACTATGCGTCATCTTTGCTTCGCTCGCTTACACTTGCTCATGTGCCCACAGCTTTCTGATCTGCATCATTTATCAATAAAAATGTAGTTGCCGCTTCCTTTTGCCTTCTGATTTTATACACCGTTAAGATTGGTATAATAACGGTTATCGAAGTGAACTATTACTGAAGCACGGCACTACAAAGTAATGCAGTCGTTAGGAAACGGGTACTAGGTAAAGATGGCAAATCGATTGATGAAGTAGTGAAACTTCATCAGTTGAAATGGTTGTGACACGTGTTACGTATGCCCAACCACCGACTGACCCGACGTACAATGTTTTATGGCGTAAGAGTAGGTTGGAAGAAAGCTAAGGGCGGCCAGAACAAAACGTGGCACAAATCCATGAAGTCACTGACAAGTGGACTGAGCCATGTTGGTAGGTGTAGACTACCTGGTTGGGATCCGCGAGATGATAGCAATCGATGGTTAGAGACCTTGAGTGACACGGCTCAAAATCGTTTGCAATGACGAAGTTGCATCCACTCTTTGTGTTCTGCCAAATTCCGATTTGAATTCTTCGTGTCTCTATCTTTTTTCTCTTTCCAAATTTATTTCACTGGATTATACTCCTTCAACAACATCTTCAAACCCTAATCTTTCGGATTACTGCTTATACCCTTACTACTTCTACCATTATGGAATTTGGATGGACAACTGCATCTCTGTGCTAATGTGGTATGGCAACTCGAACTGATGTACGTACGTACGAAGTTCTACGTACCGGCCTCCGTCACCGGCTACCATGGGACTGTATTTCCTCACTATGCTCCACTGCCTCGTGGATCAGACCTTTAGGTCAAAGGCTTTGGGTGTGGCCCCTTAAAAAAACCACCTGGGCAGTATCACAGACCTCACACAAGTCGAATAAGATTTGTGTGGCGCATATGTATCTGGTACCCCCTTGTACCAATTTTTATGTGTATGAATATATAAATAAATAATGACTCAATATAAACCAGTGGTGATACTATAAATAAATAATATATTTGTAATATCCCAATGAGTAGAAAAATTAGATTTTCTGACGTTTCGTGACTCAGTGTAAGCCACGGAACAATCCTTGGATTGTTCCGTTGTACTATTTAAACTTGGATTAATGTTAATTTGGTTATTTATTCTCTGAAGAAGTGGCTTACACTGAGTCACGAAACGTCAGAAAATCTAATTTTTCTACTCATTGGGATATTACAAATATATTATTTATTTATAACAATCTACTCAATGCTCAATTTATTCAAAATTATCAAATCAAGACTTGGTAATGATACCTACAGTGGTGATACTGTTGTAACTTTCTTTAACTTTATTCATATAAAATGAACGTAACTTCTCTAACTGAAAGAATTCTTTCTGGTTATATCTTTGCTAACTGAACTGCCTCTCCCATTATTATTATTATTTTATTCTCATTCACTAATTTCTGTTCGTTATTGTTACTTTTTCTTATATGCACTTTGCATTCTCCATCTCTTCACATTCTCATTGTTATTGTGTGGCGCATATGTATTTGGTGCCCCTTTGTATCAATATTTGTGTTCAAATAAATAAGAACATTTAAGGGTATTTGTCTTGAGAAGTGTATCAGCCATTTTTCATCATTGATTTCTTACTATCATAGTTTTAACGAACACAATCCGAAACTCCTACAGAAGTTTTTATGTAACTAATTTGGTTGTGTAGTTTTCTTTTTGATCTGGAAAAGTTTTTGTTGCATTTGTTTACTAACTGATGTAAATTAAATGCGAATCTGCTTGAGAATAGTATGACTTATGGTAAACAGTAAATTATAATTCCCGTTCTAAGGCCTTACTGTAGATCTTACTTTTGCAATCCCACACTGAATATGTTCTTTAAATCCTCATCTCCGTCACTGTGTTTTACGGAAGTACATGTATTTTGTGTGCGGTTCGCATTGATAATGTCATCAGGAACTTTTCTGTAGAATCTGAAATCCACTGTTTGTTTTTTTACCAATTTCCTGTTTAAGAGGGCGCCCAATGTTGTCAGTAATTAGACTGGGAAGCGTTTATTTATTGTAACTGAGTAAAATGAGGTAAAGTTTCAATAGTTATCAATTCCAAACTTTCTAATTGGGTATTTGTGGTTAAGAAAAATATTGATCTTAGTTTTCTCTGTGGATCTCTTAGACAGTTGACGGTAAAAACCTTGTTCCAATAATCTAACTATCATTCCTCAACATTCGTAATTTCAGTGTCTTCTCAACTGTTTTACCTGATGTTTCTTAATTGTTCATGTTTTAACCTGGAAAGTTTATCCTTATATTCAAAGTTTCCTGTTGTGCATTAAAAACTAATATACTTAGTGAAGAATTTTCAACTGTCCACTTTTTTTGACGAATGAAGTTTGCTTGAAATGCTATTAAAATAACTCAAATCATTTGTACATTATAGGACTTTGATCCATTGAACACGGATAAGAGTTCTGAACAATCTCGCTTTATTAACCCATTCTCATGTTCACGTTGTGGTACGGACTTCACGCCTGTTTGGAAACGCAAACGCCCAGGTTCATCTGAAGTTGTTTGTGAAGCCTGTATAGTTGACGGTCAACGTTCAGTCATTCATAAAGCATACAGTAGTGTTATTTCAGCTGCACTTAAACAACACGCTGCTTCAGAACGTGAAATTGAGCATGAATATCAAGACGTAGTCAATTCACCAGCTAAGTTGGAAGCTTTTATTAAAGAACATGAACGTAAGCTTCTGGTTACTCAACAAGCTCAAGTGGCACAACAACAGCAGCAACAAATGCAGCAAGTTGCTTCAGCTACTGGTTTACATAATCAAAGGTACCACCAACAACAGCAAGGGTTCCAGTCTCAGGTAAGTTTTCATTAAAGTATTTAAATTTCAGGTTTTATTGATGACAACCATGCCCTAGAGTATTAAATCTAAAAGCTAACATAATATCTTCGGAGTTTGCGTTAAAACTTCCGTTGTAATAAAAATCGCTTATTATATCACGACGACTAAAAGATTAAATTTCCTGACGTTTCGTAACTCAGTGCAGACCACTTCAGAAAATAAATTACCAGTCAAATTAAAGTAATTGAAATTCATATGGTAAAAAGGAACAAAACGAAAATATTTACTACATCCAATTAAAGGCATATTTGATCAAGTCAGCGTCATGTTACTACGGTCAAGGTGATGCATGTATATTTGTGTGTGATAATGGTGTGAGATATAAGTCGAGTTTGATATGATGGCTTGGATAGTCTATATCGGATGGATGATAAGACCTTTCAGTTTTTAAATTAGCTACTTTGTTTTGTTAGATCCGAGTTTCTGTTCAGATATTTTAATAAATGTACGATTAAGATGGGAAATCGTAACTGTCAGGAAAACGGTGGTTGTTTCCTACTTGCAAAAGGTGCTTCGTCATTTCGGTAGTGCTATCCCGGAAGTTTGGAATAACTTCACCAACAGGCTCTACAGTTATAAGTTCATGATTATTGCATTACTTTACAAAGGCTAAGATAAAGCATGTCTGTAAATTCAATAATGTTATATATTTTTAAACTACCAGAATCTAGTATTGTCAATACAACTGACTTGAATCCAGGATCTTGTATATCTATGTCTAAAATGTCTGTGTTCTAATATAAGGAGTTTAGGTGGTCGGTTTTTTGGCAATAGGATAGTGAGTTTGTACTTTTTTATATCTCAAACAGTTTGATGAAGTAGATATGACCTTTAGTTCTTATACAGTAATTGTTACTTTTTTAAAGTTTACATGTCTCTGTGTTCTCGTACTGAACAGCACTAACTTTTATGAAACTCCTAATTCTCGTGAATAGTCATCTATGGTTAAATTATTTAAAATTAATTGGAATATAGGTGAATAGTCATGTCTATGTTCAAGTGTCGTAATCAAACGTATTGAAGGGTGAGATACTATATGAGTATACTCTAAAAAAACATTTACAGTCATGTATGATACCTATATCGTATGGGTTATCTTAATTATTTTAGTTTTCTTTTCTCGGGTAAATCCTTATGGTTTCTTAGCACTTTACATTTATGAATTGTATTGATAGTGCTTACTGAGTCAATTCGTCAATCATAACTTAAGCTATATCAGTTAACTAACGGTTATCTTGAAATTTGAAAGCAATAGACTGAAGTCTTTGTGATGAGAATTAAAACGTTTCAAATAAGCAAGCTAATTAAGTTGATAAAATTACTGGCTTACTGATATAGTTTAAGTTATTTTTTAAAAGGGGAAGTTTTAGGTGTTTAAAATATGTAAAGTCACGTAACACAGATGTTCTGTAATGAGTTTGCGCAATGTATCTTATTTTAAAAAGTTTTAGGACAACACAAACTTGTATTTTGTCATCTTATAAGGCTTAAAAAACTGCCTTCGTAATATATCTTGACGTATTCCCATAAACTTAGAAGAGATTGAGGAACCCTGTCATGTAGTTTGACTCTAACTGTGAATATATTGATCTACTCAAAGAGTTCTAAACAGCTTATTAATCCAACTGCCCTTAGTGGTTGATCATGTTCATTCGTCGATTTTACTCGAAAATAAACATTAGGAACGTGCTGATGGGAGATTTTTGTGATTCTTTTTTATTTATTGAAGTATCAAGTTTATTTAAGAAAAAAATTAGATGGTCAGTTGTCATATCGATGTTGGCTGCGATTGTATTCAGTCAGATACAGTGGCAACGGTAGAACCACGTTTTAGTCTGAGAAGTATTAGTGTACAGAATATATCTGCATAAGATAGTTTTTCAAGCAAGTAAAGAATGAATACGTCTTCATTCTTATGTTTGATCTGACATTGGTATTCAAGATATCCGTCGATTAATATTTACCACATTGAGAACCCCTACTTAAGCTTAGTCTCCTTCATAAGACTCAGATCATCAATCACATAGTAGACACTTGAAATTATGCAGATAAGTGTACTAAGTTGTTACTCATGAGTACATTAACCAACAATTAGTTCAAAGCTTGGTTAATGTACTTTCATTTAGTCAATCAGTTAGTATCTTCACACATTAAGTATTGCTCCAAATCTGGTGAACTATATTTCGCTTGTTTGCCAGGTTATGTATAACTAGGATTTCGAATCAGTTATAACGTGCAGTTTAATTTTTCGGTTGGTTTTACTTCATCCTGTCTTTGTAATGATTTTGTATTTTTACACAGAATGTATTTAATAATGCTAGTAGCTCAAGGCATGGACAAACAAATGTGGTTAACAGCGCTTCCTCATCTCAGTTAGGAATGCCAAATGTTTCGTCTCGTCGACAAGCTACATCTAATAACGCCAGTGTCAACTCTCCTGTTTCCCTACCTATTCAGCAGCAGGGACATGCAGCAGGAAATGTTGTTCAGCAGTTGGCATCTCGTTATCAACAACTTACAAAAGCGGCTGTTGCTGCGGTTGTTGGTGGTGGTCAAAGTCCAGTTAATCATTCTGTTACTAATAATTCTGCCACTGCAAACTTGATGATGACAGCAGCCACAAATCCTATGCTTGCAGCAGTTTCGGCAACTAATCAGCAACAGCAATCGGTCGCCCAACAACAATTAACTGCTGCAGCATTGGCACAACAACGGCTAGCTGCAGTAGCAGCTCTAAACTTCCAGCATCAACAACCACACCACACACAACCTTCAACTGGAGCAGTAACACCTAATTCACCTATTGATCACTTAGCTCAGTTTACTCAGATGCAGACATTGTTAATGAGCAGTCTCTTGGGAAATGCAGGTATATATTATCACACTTATGTTTATTATCTTAATGTGGATATTTTTATTTTAACCTCTGTCCTTGATGCAGATTATCTTGTTTTCCGTGTGACTTCGGTAATTACGAACGATATCTCCAAATGACTATTTTATCGGGGACTCAGTCTTAGCTACGTTTTTCTGTCTATCAATTACACTGATCCTTGTTGTGAAAGGTTTAGAGATTCAATTGATCTCATAAATTGTATTGCAGTTCGAGTGCCCATTTTCAAAGCACAAATTTAACTTGGGTCTGATTGCAACTGTTCCGTATAGTATTGGGTATGGTCTTTCTATCCAGACATGCTCTACGATTTCTGGTCGAAAAACTCAAATTTTGCAAGTTCAAAATCTACTTTCGTTTGAGAAACCGGGTAGTATCGTTATCATTTACACCAAAAACTGATTGCATAAACATTTACCTGTTCAACCATTCGACCTTGCAGAATGTTGCCTCTTGTCTTCCTGTACCCAGCTGTAGATTACGTTAAGATTGTCTCATATCAGACAACCAAATTCTAAGTATTTATACACTATCTCTCCCTCAAAATTCACTTTCCAAGATTTAGTCACGAGTTCTCTAGGTTTCCATAATAGACATACAATTGATCTTAACAACAGAAAATAAGCTTCCTAACTACATTCAACTGTACAATAATTCATATAATAACTGAGTGGATAACATTGCATGAACTTGAAGGAATCGGTGTACATAGTGTTTGTTCGTAGTTCCCACCTGCACTGTCACTAAGTGCAGTTCAGAGAAAATGAACGAAAGCCTAAGTAGTGTTTTTTAAATTTCAGCTCAACGACCACTAACGAATTCTAAGTACTTTAAATATGCAAAGAGGATTACATATAACACTTATCTAACTACTGATCGATGCTGTTATTTTTGATTGTGGTTTCTGAATATGCATCATTGTTGTTGGTGTTTTATAAATGATGTTAATTTGTTTCAAAGAATTCTAATAGTTTGATAAGTGGTGATAAAAGCTGATTAATGTTCATTTTTATCTTTTTCGACAATAATTCAGCTGCTGCTACTGGGGCGCAAGCAACAGCTAATACTAGACAACAACAACAGCAAATATTGCAGCATGCACTTTTACAGTACACCTACTTACTACAACAGCAACAAGCTGCTGCAGCTGCTCAAGCTCAACAACAACAAAATCAGCAAGTTAATGCTGCCGCACTGCAACAGCTTATGAGCGGTGCTGCAGCTAATCCGGCAGCTTGTATGACGTTGTTACAAAATTTGTGGGCACTAAATGCTGCGTCAAACGGTGTTAAGAAGTAGTACTTTGATGCCACAACTTTATTCCTAATCTAATGACTTCACTGTTTTGTGTGTCTGTTTGCTATTGATATCTCTAAATTTCTATGATTTGACTAACACACGTTTCAGTTTGCTGTGCCTTAGTGACTACAACGCGTACAGCGTACTTCGACATAAAATCAATAATTTATTTTAGGTTGTTGTTAAATTTTTTACATCATCTACCCAAATTCTGGTTCTTTAAAATCACTTGTCATTTCCATTTTCTACATTGTACATATCTTCATAAATCCGTTGTATTGTTTCAGTTTCATTTGCTTTGTTAATGATATTTTTCTGATCTTTCAGTCAACATATCGTCTTGCCAATTATCACTAACAGTTGTTTTCATCTTATCTGATTATGGGTTTAGTTTACGACACTCCCTGGCTTATTTATAGTTTTGGGCATAGTGAGGAATTAATAGATAAGTCCGGTCTACTTAACGGTGTATGATCTCTCCAACATACATGCAAACTCCAATGTTAGCGACAGTATAACATTTTAAGTACATTTAAAATCTTCTAGTTATCTCTTCGTCATTAGATGGGGTCAAGGCAGGATGTCGTTCGGAATTTTACGTTTTCACTGATGTCAAATAAGTAAAAGGTAGCATGAAAATGTGTGCCATAAACCTAAGATTAATGTGTCTTGTGATCTATGTCGAGGACTGTTAGCCTGTTAAATTACATGGCTGCCGTCGCTCCACTCGTTTTTGCGGATGTTATCCTAACATGATTCCATGTGTTTTTTTCCGCGTTGTACCAGGAATGCATTTCGGAATGAGCAATTAGAATTGTTAGAAGCACAAAGTCCAGCAAAGCTCTCTCTTTCCAATGGACTTTTTATAATACTGTACAATCATATATATATATATATATACTGATAATTTCTTCAAATTATTAGTTTCGAAAGAAAATATGAACAAAGAATAAGAATGATGATGTAATATGAATATTAAAATTGTTTCGGGAGTATTTTTACCACTACAGTAATCTTTTCATCACGTAATCTTAAATTCATAAACAAGTCTCACTGTCATGTCTGGACTTCTACAACAGTTATTTATTCAGACCGTTAGAATTTACTAGTTGGTGTAAGTAACATTTTCAATACTGGTATCCTCAGTTTGTTCTTTGAACTCCGTACAGTATTTTTAGGCGTAGAATTACCCGTTATTTTTCCTTATTTTCTTGTGTATCTGAAGACGAGCATTTTTATTTTTCGTAAATTTGCTGACGTCACTACTCATACTAATTGCCTCGTTTTGGAAACCAGTATAAAATAAGGATGGAGTTACTGACTATGTGTTGTATATATTCTTGTTTTGCTTTCGCCACGATAATTAAAAAATGGTTGTGCAATATGCTTTAGATATCAATTATATTCCTAGTAACAAACAATAAATCCACAAAAACAGTCGAGGGTAGTGTTCTGCTAACATTTAGATTGTGTGTAGTGCTTTAGACTTGAGTAGATCTAGGTGATGACTAACTAGAAGTTTATCTAATATCAACTCTGTAGAGCGCGTCATCCGCTAAGTGGATTAGAAAAATATTAGTATTCTAAAATTTGTAACTTGACTAAATATTTTCTTACTTCATTGCGTGACTGTATAGAAACATCAGGGCGAATAATTTCTGTCGGTAAGAACCGGTACCACTGGTCCATCAACGATGGAGAAATTCAAAAACAAGTTGAAAAAATTTGTCTATTTCCATTGATACTTAGCGGTTGTTAGGAAGCTAATTTGCGACCGAAATTATGGTGTTAATTATCATGTAAGGTAACATCGGTGCAATGTCTGAACTTGGTGCTATTCTTCAATTGCTGGAAATGCTTTGCGACGACGGAGTTTTATCTGAGGAGAGTTGGTGGACGGATGTCCTCTGTACCTGATCCCTCGGGCGCTAACTGATAGACGTATCTTTGGTGGCTACGATCAACAGACTGGGTGGTGAGAATATGACGAAAGATAGTGTGGTGCCAGTTTCGGGTTATATCTAAATGTCAGCTATTATCGTTGCTCATGAAGTAACAGGCTGCAAGAAGTTCGCTGAAGAATTGGGATGGTTAAGAACGTTACTCTTTGACCGCTGTTTATATATGTGTGTATGATTATACACTTTTTGAGCTGCCGTTTTAATGTCTGAACACAACCCTATGTCCATTCAGATCAAGTTTCCTTATCTAGTAACTCATGTTATTGTGACCTGATAATGTAGAGATCTGGTTCTGTGATGCAGGGACCGACTTTCACGCGCCTACGAAGACCCGTGCTATTCAGAAAGTACAGTGTTTTTTCCCTCGCCGAGTTAATGTTATTGTTTTGATCGTAAATTACGCATCAAAACTACTGTTTTTACTTTAGTTGAATTCATTTCAGTCAAAGTATTCTTCAAGAGTACCGTTTTTTGGAAGTAACTTATCAGTTCTTTTAAGTACATTGGTTGTTTGTATTTGTTTGCATTTGGGTTCCAACAATTTATAGTTTTCCGCTTTTCCTGGTCATCACTTTCTCTTGTCCCTGAGTATTTTTTGTCTATTTTCTTTTGAAAACCTATTGATGACTGGCATTGTAAAAAAGCAATTGCCAGCGCTTAGGCTGTCGATACTCTGAGGAAAGTAGCATGCAGTGCTATGCATACAAATAATGGTACCACGTAATTTGCACGAACCTAACGCCTGTTTTTAAACAGTTAAGTAGAAATAGTTGCGTTTGGTCTTGTCAACAGTGCTGCTCGGACTCAGACAGCTTACTTTCCAAAACTATTGCAATGGTGAATGCTCCTAAGAGGAGTATTAACAAGTGTATTAGTCAGTCGGTACACAAATTGATGTGAAGTTACCTCAGATAAGCTCAGAATCGATTGATCTATATGGGCAGAATGAGAAAGGATCGACTTTGAAGAGGTTTATCAGAAATAAAAGCTCAAGAAAAGGATCCTCTGTTCTTCATCCTCCAAATGTCAGCCAGCAGAAAACGCCTAGAAAACCTAATAGTAAGGCTAGGTCTGTCCCTAGCAGAAAAACACAAAGACCTGACCACCCAAGTCATCGACAATCATACGGGATCTCGTCATTTCATTTACACAAATAAATGCCCAAGGCATACAATTCGCACTTAATCAGTGTCCGCAGGTATGGCATGTGCTTTGCACCCTCCAAGCGCAAAGTACTCTTACAAGACCGGTAGGACTCTAATCCTGTACTCACCCTGGATGGTGAGCAGATTGAAGAAGTTGAGAAGTTCGTGTATCTAGGTAGCTATATAAGTGCTGGTGGTGGCGTTAGTGACGAGATCGATGCACGTATAGTGAAAGCCAGAGTGGCTTATGCCAATCTGGGCCATCTTTGGCACCTTCGTGATGTTAGTCTGACTGTAAAAGGTCGGATCTACAACGCGTAGGTGAGAGCAATTTTTCTCTATGCTTGTGAAACCTGGCCTCTCCTAGTTGAGAATGTTAGACGACTCTGTGTTCGATCATCGCTGTCTCCGTAGGATTGCTGACATCCAGTGGCAACACCATGTTAGTAATGCAGAGGTTCGGCATCGTGTGTTCAGGCACAGAAACGATAATTCAATTGGTGTCACCATCTTGAAACACCGACTTCGGTGGTTTGGACATGTTTTACGAATGTCGTCCAAGAGACTTCCACGCCGTGCATTATTTACAGACTCTGGGACTGTTTGGAGAAAGCGGAGAGGAGGTCAGTGTATGACATGGTGTCGTGGCATGAAAGAAAGCTGCAAAGGGCTAGCTTCTGTTGGTACTTCACGACTCCCTGGTTGGGGTCCGAGAGATGGTGCAACACAGCGGCTAGGGATGTTATCAGATATGTCTCAGAATAGAAGCCAGTGGCGAGCCTGCTGTAACCTTTTTTTACTTTCTTCATAAAGAGTGGTTATAACTTTCTTAACTGAGAGAATTCTTCTGGTTGTATATTTCAGTTTCCCTCATCATTACTATTCTCTTTTTTTCCTTTATATGTACTCATCTTCCCCCTTTCTCCTCCAATTCTCATTATTTTGTGTGGCGCATATGTATCTGGTGCCCTTTTCACCAATATGTACGTGTTTAAATAAATAAATAAAATCCGGGATCTCACAGTGAATGTGATACGACTGTGGTTGCTACTCCAACGAAAGTTGATGAACGGGTACAGATCGAGGGTGAGAAACAACATAATGTTACTCAAGGAAAACCAGTATTCTTAAAGTATCTGAGAAATTGAAGATTGATCGTAGTTACAGGTCAGTTATCTTTCATAGGGTCGAGCATAGTGACAGCTCAGAACCGAAAATTCGTTTTGATCATGACATTGAGTTGATTAAAGCTACTTATTCAGCTAGTGCCTCAGGGTCATCTTGCTAAAGGTTTATAAAATAGGTAGGCAAATGAACCTGAAACAGAATCAACCCAGGTTGCTACTATTTAAATCTACCAACAAAACAGACTTAATATTGAGAAATGGACATGAACTAAAGGGGTCAGGAATTTCTTCCGTAAAGACATGCCGCTAGCGGACCGTAAAAAAGACGAGGAGATGAAAAAAGACTAAAACGTAGGTTAAATGTTGGGAAAAGGGACCCAAAAATTTTTAATTTCAGTGTACTTTGATTTCGGCAGGAAATGATGACGAAGCCCCTCTGGGTGCAAGATGAAGCCGCTTAGATGGGCTTCGGATCTGTTTCTCAGGTCCCCGGGGCTTGCTCAATAAGCGGTCGGACCTGGGTGCACAGATAGACTACTAAACCGGATATAATAACAATCACAAAAACTTGGCTGGTGCAGTCTATAGGTAGTAGGGAAATTGACTTTAAAAGTTTCACATTCGTAAGAGCAGTCAGAATCCAAAGAGGTAAAGGAGGAGAAGTATACCTATTCATCAGGCGTTCTATCCTATTTACCACTATTGATAACACATCCCATGAGAGTGAGACTTGTAAATTAGTTAGTTGCCGCTTGAATTTCAG